TAAGACGATATTATTTGAATTTGTTCACAAAGTGAAACTATAATTTTACAGTATTTCTTTCTTTCCTAAATCTGACAAATGAATTAGACCTATACTGTTTTACTCTGAAATATTAACAACTGTAACAAAAATTCAATATCTCCGCCTATCTCAAGCTTTTACAGAGTAAATATTCTATTATTTTTAACAACTACTTTACCAACCCATGGTAAATGAAACAGTCAAATAAACACCCTCGATAAAGGAACAGAAATTTTTCCAAGAACTTAACTATGCTTAATATTCTTCCTGGCTAAAATGTGAACTTCTCGTTGACAATCTAAGTCAGTACAAAATTACCGCCTCCGATATGCAAGCTCACAAAATTCTTCGCGATCCGACAAGCGTGTCCTGATGTACAAAAGCGAGTTCTTTTTCCACGCTCGATCGCAGTCTGTAGATCGCGCTGTTCGATACACGCCGCGAGGAAAAGACAAATAACCAAAACACGGATTAGATACCTCGTGAAAAAGAAAGCTCGAACCTTGACGGAGGAGGGAACTAAATAGGGAAGACAAAAGAATTTTCATCGAACGCAATTCTGTCCAGCCATTGCCGACTACTGTTCAACTATAGGTGTACTCATACGAAAGAAAAAAAAAAACAAAAAAAAAAGAAATAAAGGGAGAAACCAGAGATATAAACAAGAGAAGACAGAATTAACTTAGAGAAACCAAAAGAAAAAAACAGAGAGAGAGAGAGAGAGAGAGAGAGAGAGAGAGAAATGAAGTGTGAATGAAGCTATATATATACATATATATATATTCGTACATAAATATAAAGAAATATATATACATATATGGCGTACACACACGCGCACACGTAACACGTACACACACATGCACAACTAATGCAACACAAGAAAGACGAGAATTATCGTGACAAAGATGATATCACAATGCCACGTGGGCGGACTGCGGCTAGTTTATAAATGTGTCGCGGTTTCTTTTCCGAATTCTCTCCTAAAGGAATTCAATTTTGTGATGCGTGATCGATGACACGAGGGTTGTGTTTATATAATGATAAGACCGCTTGTCGAATTTCCTTTGGGAGGATATCGTTGAAAAAAGCGTTCGAATGGCACGGGGGACACTGGAATTCGTTAACCCTTTGCACTTGAACGACCATTTGTTCGGAATTGCGAATTAAGGGATTTGTGGTGTTAAGAGTGTTTCCGATATCAGATAGCGAACATATCAATTTTATCGAAATTTTAATTTTTATAGGAACCTCTATTCGAAGTTTGATTATAGATAATGTGTTTGTATGTGGGAGGAAGTTGTTGTGTTTTAAGTTGATATGTGAAATTGAGGAAAGTCGTGTTACGAGAAATTTTAATAATTGATATTTGGAAATCTTGGAAAGTATGGGAAAATTTTAATAATTTGTATATAGAAACCTTGGAAAGCAGGGGAAATGTTAATAATTGATATTTGGAAATCTTGGAAAATGAGAAATTTTAATAATTTGTATATAGAAACCTTGGAAAATATGGGAAATGTTAATAATTGATATTTAGAAATCTTGGAAAATTTTAATAATTGATATTTGGAAATTCTGGAAAATACGGGAAATTTCAATAATTGATATTTAGATATTTTGGAAAATATAGGAAATTTTAATAATTGATATTTGGAAATCTTGGAAAATGAGAAATTTTAATAATTTGTATTTAGGAATCTTGGAAAATGTGAGAAATTTTAGTATGTGAGATTTTCACTCCTTCGGAAGTGAAGCTTTTAATATCAAAAGTACCTGCAGACTTTTACTACCTAAATATTATATTCAATCCTCCTACCCATTTCAAAATAAACCAAAATTTCTAACGAAAATAGAAAAGCGTCGTAATTAACGCGTGGAGAATGTTGAAATCTTAAAAAATTCTATTTGATACTTATTGTTAAATATAATTTCCTTGTTAATCCAATATCTATTTCTGTTAAATTATAAGAAAAAAAATTTTAAAACATAAAACTCCTAGGAAATTACATGCATAAATTATACAGGGTTAATTGAAGTGGTTAAAATCGTGTTAAAAAGATATCACATTTTTATTTAACGGGGGATACATTGAATTCTGTCAATTGCAAATAATTCATCCAAATAAATTCTTTTCCTAATCTATCGTAAAACGAAAGTGTAAAAGGGTTAAACATTCCCGTCACCTGTCAACGTTCTAATTATCATCGTTCCAACGCTAATCACTGTTAATACTTGGCTGTCCACTTTTGCTAAACAACTTCCGGCGACTTCGGACACTCATTATCATTGTTGTTGTTGTTATTGTTGTTGTTAATCTATCCGCCAATTTCTACATCTATTTACGAATAAAATGAGAATTAAACGAGTGCTCGAGAACGAATCATTCAGAAAAAAGAAAACGATCTAAAAACTAACACACCTGTCCAAAAAATAATTTGTATCTTTAAACAACGCGATCACGCTATTTGCCCTTACACGCTGTTTCATTATTTCCACACGAAATATCCCAATTCTACAAACTACCACCTAAAAACTAAATTGATCTAGCACGATCGATCGATCGAACCAAAAAGAAAAAAAAAGAATCGCAATCAACAGCAACAGTTTCTTACTTTCTTCATTTCTTTATTTAAATACTTCATCAGTCAGCCAACGTTACAAGATTTCGCGCATTATGTAAATTCGTGGTTTCTTTTGCTTTTTCTAATTTTTTTTTTTTTTTTTTTTTTTTTTTTTTTCAAAGCAACGCCACGCTTGTACGTTAGCTCGAGGGCGTGTCGACGAACAGCAGAATCATCGAGTGTTTCTCAAGTACCCGGATACTCTTGTGTCTGTGAAACACGAATACAATCAACAGACACTGATAATGACTCGGTATGCGTGTTTTATGTATGCGTGTATGCGTGTGTATATATACATATACATATATACATATGTGTTTAATGCGTGTGAAGAAGAAGGGAGAAAGAGAAAAGAAGAAGAAAAACGTCTCATCATGCGTCTACGATCGGTATTAAAGCGTTTATCGTTCGAGATAAGATTATAAATATACCTATAGTAAAAAAAAAACCGAGTGGTTATTTTAATACGATCGTATAAGAAGAGGGCTCTCCCGCGATTCGCTTCGACGATTTCGAGATAATTCGTCGTCTCCTAAAAGAAAAAAAATCGCTGTAAATGTTTCGTTTAGTTACACAAATTCAAAACTGTCCGGACACAGTTGCTTCTTCGTTCGACGAGTCAGCAATTATCGTTCCTGTCCTCTGCAATTTTCTTTCGTTTTTTTCGCAATCTGTCGTATCAAGACGTATCGCCGTGTTCGCGAATATTTCACGCAACCTCGTGTCGAGAAGAGTACAGAGATTAGACGGTCATCGTCTTAGCGAAGGTACGAGAAGGTATACACACGAGGATACGAATATTTGCGATCATGCCACCTGGTTCGTCTTTAAACACGATTGATAACGCGACAGGTAAAGTTTGCAAGAGAGAGAGAGAGAGAGAGAGAGAGTTCTCGCCCACCTCTTTTCCTTCATCCCTCCGCTGACACGCGAAACAACTTACTAATCGAATTTTGTAAATTAGCGAACGTTTGTAAAGACTTGCCGTGTCACGCTTACGTGGTGGAATGAATACAAAGACAAAAGAAAAAAAAAATTTATTGTATATGAAGCTACTGTGATGTTACTGTTGAATATAAAAAAACAAAAAAAAAATATATATATATATACATAAAAAGAAGCTGTATTTAAAAATTGTCTCCAATGTGTTCTTTTTACTTGTACCTTACTATCGAGAACGTAGGTATTTCTCGTGTTGCGAGAGTGGAAAGACTAGATAACGAAAACGACAACAAGAGAAAAAAAAAATTCTAAAGAGGATGATAAACACTTGAAGGTTCGTACAGTTTTTTCTTTGTTTTCTTTCCTTGCTCATTCTGTTTAGCTCTAACTAATGGTAATCGTTTTAGTGCTATCAAAAATACACACTTTCAGAGAAAAATACTTTTTATTTCGCAGTTCGTAGGTAACTTTTCGTTTTGGTTGAACAATCGAATATCGAGACGGATAATTTTTTGCCTCGAGTGCGTGTATCGAACTGGATCAAACACAGCCGCTGATAACATAATGCTGATCGACAGAGTTCGTGTTTCTCTTTTTTTTTCACGTGTGACGCGTTTAAGTGAATCCAATTATTACTTTAACGTGTCTCCTTTTGATCTTTCCTTGTTTTTCTATTCCCTTTCCTCTTTTTTCTAACGACAGTTTCTTGATTACAATCCGTCCTTTAATACACGTACACGTAAATTCGTATTTAAAGGTATGTGCACAATTGTGCGAATATTTGCGCGCATACAACTTTCGCGTTGTACTAATCGGTTTTTAGAAAGTTTGCTAAATTACAAAAGGGACATCGACCTCTTTTTTTTTCGTTTTTTTCTTTTTTTTTTACACAAACCTCGCCGTCTTGCTCGA